TTTGAGGTTATGTAGCTACGAAGATTTTGCTCTTCATAAAAAAGTAGGCGTGGTATTTTAAAGTAAAGTCTTCCTCTTTTAAATGCCGTTGAGTTTGCTCAAATATCTTAATTTTTCACTGAGATAACGCATTTTGAAGTCTCCATGTTTGTGAATGTAATCGACCGTATCACGTCTCATGTTATCTCAATGGATTTTCGAATATCGAAAAATTCACAAACATGGAAACTTCAAAATGCGATATCTCAGTGAAAAATAAAGATATTTAAGCAAACTCAACGGCATTTAAAAGAGGAAGACTTATACTTTAAAATACCACGTTTACTTTTTTATGAAGAGCAAAATCTGCGTAGCTACATAACCTCAAAAATGGGCAAAAACAGCGTTTTTGCACTTTTAGGTTAGGATATCTCAAAATTCTGACGTGATAGAGCAATTTAAACCCCGGATTCGGATTCTACGCAAAAAATTACTTCGAAAATGACCCTACACTTTCCTAGAACAAAACGTTGTTGACCTGTGTAATTAATTACTTAAAAAATGTTAATTACTTCATTAATTTTAATTAAATGATTTTCTTGTTATATTTGATAATTTTCAATTATTTTTGACTTTTTTAATTACACAATTAATATAATTATTTGATTAATTTCTATTATCAATCAACAAGCCAAACTATAGACAAAAATTAAGAATATTTAATAACTGCTTGAACTATTCATTTATTTTATTCTTATCCAAATCTCAAATTTTAAACATTAATTATTTCTTTTATAAGTTTTTAAAAAGAATAGACTAAAATGTGCAAAGTCAATTAATTTAATTTATTTTAATGAAAACTTTTATTTTTATTTTAGTTCACTTAAAAATGAACTAAAGTAAGTAAAATTAAGAATATTTAGTAACTGCTTGAATTATTCATTTATTTTATTCTTATCCAAATCTCAAATTTTAAACATTAATTATTTCCTTTATAACATTTTAAAAAGAATAGACTGAAATGTGCAAAGTTAATGAATTTAATTTTCTTTAATGAAAACTTTTATTTTTATTTTAGTTCACTTAAAAATTAACTAAAGTATTCATTTTATTTTTACCTAAAAGGTTGCTTTTGCATATTCAATATTAAATATAGTATTTATTATACCTGAAAGCTTTTACTTTTTAACCGACTTCCAAAAAAGGAGGAGGTTATCAGTTCGTCGGAATCTTTTTTTTTTTTTTTTATGTATGTTACCGCATAACTTTGGACCACGTCAACCGATTTCGATAATTCTTTTTGCATCGGAAAGGTAGTGTCTCAGAGGCCATACTAATCTGGTTAAGATCCGATCAGCGGATCATGAGATATATATATATATATATTTTTTTTATATGACTGTTGAAGTCGGTTTTTTTTTTGCTAAAAATTACTTGTAATAACATATAATAAAAAATGCATTTAAGTTTATGTTCGCAAATCTAAGGCTGCTATATAAAAATGTGTAATATATTAAAGTGTACTTAACCAAAAGTTTTTATTGTATATTCATGAATTCATTAGACTAGTATTTTTCTGTCTATTTTGAACTAGTATGAAACTGGTATATTTCTGACCGAAATCTGACAATTGCCATCTCGTAGGACATCCCCATGTTAAAAATACCAGTTGATTGCATGGGAAAAAGATAGTTGGCTGACTAGTTGGCCATGCGGTTCATACTAGTTGTGTGGTAGTTTACAACCAGTGCATTTGACTACAGGGCATGTGGTTGTTGTTGCATGTGTATTTGATGTACCGCTAGCAACAACAAATCATACGCTCATGCTGTTACGATTACACCACATACAACGAATACACATAAGAGCGAATTCCCCTATTATTTTACCCACCTCATGTCCATATTGTGACAAGGCCTCCTTTACTGCTATCATATTGGCCGAAGTTAGTAAGCTTTGTATATCAGCACCCGTGTAGTTTTGCGTGCGAGCTGCGAGGTGGTCAAAATCAACCGAGTCATCGAGATTCAACGAAGCTGATAATGCTTCGAAGATGCGCACTCGGGCCGTAGCATCGGGCAGGGTACATTCAACTAGCCGGTCAATTCGTCCGGAACGTAATAATGCTGGATCCAAAAGCTCCGGTCGAGAAGTGGCGGCAATTACTGTTACTCCTTGTAAACTCTCCACACCATCCAATTCAGTCAACAATTGGTTTACTACGCGATCTGTAACGCCGGTTGAGTCATGGCCACGTTTTGGTGCTAAACTATCGAATTCGTCAAAGAACAATACACACGGCTTAGCGCTGCGGGCTCTGAAAATGTAATATAGTTACAACTTTATAAACAAAAACTATAGGAGTTTTAATAAAATTCTACTCTTTAAATTGAACTTAATTAAATTGGCGATTCATTTCTTTATCTTTAATTTTACATTTAATTATTTCTGCCCTAGTTTAGACCGGGTTATAAGAATTTAAAGTTCAACCATCAACTGTCGCAAAACAAATATTTTAGAAATCGGGAGAAATTTGGCACCCTTGTAGATAAATATTTACACTTTCTCATACAAAAACAAATTCGATAATAAAATAATAGTTTTTGGAGGGAGTAAGCAAACTAAAAAATGGTTTAAATAACTTTTTATGTTTCGAACTAACTTCTTTTATTTTTAACTTATGTTAGCTCTAATAAGAGTAATAAGTACAAAGAGTACAAAAGGTATTTAAACTGAAAATAAGATTATATGTATATAAGACATTTTGGCTCTTTTTTACACTAATACCCAGTTTAATTGATACATCTAAGACATTTTCGTTATTCGTACCTTTTTTGCAATGCATAAAGGGTGAACACACCAAAACTGCGACACTTAGAAATTACTACCAGAAACAAACTAGAAGGCTTTGAAATTATTATTTTTTTTTTTTATTATATAACTTGGAAGTTTATATGTTATTAAAATGTTAAAATATTAGTTATTATTTGCTCCATATGCAAGTGATCGGTATTTTCATCGCACACGCGCCATCATGTTCTGCACGACTGCATCATCGACATTACGCGATGCGCACAACTACTTTGTTTTGCACTCTTCAATAATTTTCACTCTTTCACCTGTTTTCTTCAAGATTCCTTTGACAATTGACCAATATTCCCCAATAGGACGTGGCTCTGGGCTATTGGGTGGGTTGCAGTCGTGAGGTACAAAATTGATGTTATTTGCATTATACCAGGGCAATGTGTCCTTGGCATAGTGGCAGGTTGCCATGTCCGCCTAGAACGATGTCCTACTACTTATCTGTTGATAAATGACAGAAGACGCCTTTTGAGGCACTCATCCCTATAAACTTGATCATTCATTGTCCCGGATGGGAAAAAAGGGCTGCTCTTACGGCCGCAGGAACAAATAGCTTGCCAAACCATGTGGTTTTTGGAAATTTGGACTTCATTTTCAGCTCACAACTTTCAGGGGCATCTTGACGACTTGCAGCAGTATAAAAATCTTGACCTGCAATATATTTTGAATTTTTATAGCAGTAGGTTTCGCAGTCCATAACAATGCAGTTGTTTTTTTTTAATTTAGAATTCATACAACTTCCGAATGCGGGATTTCGCTGTAACATTCTACTTTGCGCCTCGGCCTGGCACTGTTTGAGCTGTAGAACATCTCAATGAAGCTTTCCGCTTTACCTTTTGTACGAAAAACTGCGATCTCCGTACGGATTTTGCAACATAACGCGACAAAATATTCGGATCTCGCGAAAACGCACTAAGGGCCTTCCTAGCACTGTTTTTATCACTTTGACCATGCTAACCCCCGCTCCCTGGTTTTCTCGTAACTGTCAGGCCTTATTGTACCGATTAAAACCCTGCAAACTGTCGAATAGTGCACTCTTTAATTTTTTAGCAATTTTACGTGTACTTAAGGCCGGATCATTTATAAACTCGTGCAAATTGGTTTGTCTCGTTTCTAGCTCGGTTGCCATTTTTAACTCAACTAGGAATCAAATTCAAACGAAATTTCTTCTACGTTCAACTAAGGTCATGGTCAACTTATAAAAACTATTGGCTTTATTCTATATTTATACGTTGATACCTGTCATGTTTCCATGTTAAAATCCAGTTAATAACTCACTTTATTAGAAGCAAAGAATATGTACAATAGAAACGAAAAGAAGAGTATAAAAGGTAATAATAAAGATGGTTGCCAACTATGCGTAATAAGCGTAATATTACTTGGTGTTGAGACTACAATCTCCCACGCTAATAGGAGACATGGTCCTTAAGGTAGGCCGGAACTTTCCTTATTTTGCTTGATTGCCTGATGCTATCGCTACCATTACTCGCTATAGCTGCTGAAGTGCAGCACCTGCAGCTGGAGTTGTGATACGTTGTTGTTGCTGTGGAGAACGTTCTATCCAAATCTCCTCCATGTTGTGTTTAGGATGGTTGACATGTTGTGCTTCAAACGTGACAGTTTTTTTTTGGCTAGTCAACATTTGTTTTATTCAATTGATTGATGTGGCGCTTCAGCTTATATCCGCTGTCTAACAACACTTCGTAATGTAAGTGGCCCCTCTTGGCCGTGACGACACCAAATTTCCATCCAGATTTTCCTCCTCCATATGAACGTGCTTGCAGTCTATCTCCCACGCTAATAGGGTGTCCATGTGACGTCTGACCAATTGATTTCTTATGTTTGTTTGGTCGAATGGCATCAAGCTTTATGCGGATTTCTCGACCCAGGTATAACTTCGCTGGAGTATCTCCGCAGGCTAAAGGTGTTGCCCGATAATGTAGTAAAATTTCTTGGACTTTTTCATTCAACGGAGTTGCATCGTCTTCCATAGATTTCAGTTTTGAGGTTAAAGGTTGTACGTACCTCTCAGCAAGGCCATTTGTGGCTGGATGGCCTGGTGCGATAAATTTCTGAATGATTCCGTTTGCGTGACAAAATTCTGTAAACGCTAAGCTTGTAAAAATTGTGGCGTTTTCAGATACAATGATCTGCGGTGTTCCATGTTTATAAAAAATATTTTTCAGAAGGTCGATAGTTGCTTGTGTGGATGGGGCATCTTTTAGCACGCGCACTTCCGGCAACTTGGACTTTGCGTCTACTAAAACTAGGAAATTGTGGTTCATGAAAGGGCCGCCGTAATCGATATGAACGCGCTGAAAATTTCCTGTTGGCTCTTCCCAGTGATGCACTGCCACTTTCGGAGGGGCTTTCATAACTTTTGCACAGCTTTCGCATCCTCTAACCGTAAGCTCAATGTCTAAATCAATCCCGTTCCAAGTGACGTTCTTGCGAGCCAACTGCTTCATTTTAACAATCCCCAAGTGTGTATGATGAAGTTCTTTCAAAACGTATTCTTGGAGCTTTTTTTGGAATCAGGACTCGATTAGCTTTAAGGATGACACCATTTTGTATTTTGCTTCGTTGTTGATTTCAGTCATCAACTCTGATTTTAGTTTTACTAGTTCGGGATCTTCTATTGTTGACTGAGCTACCGTAATCGCTATTACGGATTTTATTGAAATTTCGTTTATAATTTGCTCTTGAATCACGTGCACTTCTTCTTCAACAAAATTTTCGATCTTTGGTTTTTCTTTAACTGGTGCCCTCGACAAGCAATCTGCGTTCACGTTTTCGTCTGCACTACGATGTTTTATTTTCTAATTAAATCCCTGAAGAAATGAGGCGTAGCGTAACAATCTGGCGGATGTCATTGCCGGGATTTTCGCTGTTTGGTGTAGAATTCTCGATGCAGGCCGATTATCCGTAATCAAGGTGAATTGTCTGCCATGTAAGTACATAAGCAGCTTGCCTACTGCAAATATGATGGCTAACTCTTCTCTGTCTAATTGGCTGTCGTTTTGTTCTGCTTTTGTAAGCGCACGTGAGATAAACGCCACAGGTCGCTCTTCGCCATCAACAACATTAGAAAGAACCGCTGCAATGCCTGTTGGACTTGCATCACATGCCACTGTTATCGGCAATGTTTCATCGTATGATCTCAATACGCGGTCTGATAGTATTTCATTTTTCAGCAGTGTAAATGCACGGCTACATTCCTGTGTCCATTTGAATGGTTTGTGCTTTTGTATGCATACGCAATGCGCTTTATAACTGCTGGTTTACGCCAATTTTATAGTCGACACATAATCCAACGTTTCCATCCGGTTTCTGAATTACCACTAGAGGCGAGCCCCAGTTGCTAGTGTTTACTTTTGTTATGATGTTATCTCGCTCTAAACTATCAAGTTATATTTCAACGTTTTCACGTAATGAAAATTGGACTTGTCTCTCCCGCAAAAATATTGGCTTGGCGCCTTCTTGAAGCTTTAAACTACACACGAAACCCGGAATACAACCAACTTTTTTCAAAAATTTCTGGATATTTTTGCACTATATGCGAAATTTAATATACCTCACAAGGTTTATTTTGCTCGTTTGTTGATATCTGTCAATTTCATTTAAATTGATTTTCAAATGACGCATCCAAACACGACCAAATAGTGGGGAATGGCTAGACGACACAACGTATATTTGTTCTTTTGATGCGTTTTTACCGAATTTCATATTGACGTCTACAACACCTAACGGCTTGAAAGTATTTCCAGTGTATGTTCTGAAAGCAATGTTTGTTGATTTTAATTCTGACTGGATGTCAAGATTTTTGAAATCATTTTCCGGAATGAGTGTATACCCTGCGCCTGAGTCTACCTCAAAACATTTTTTTTCCCTTCGATTATAACTTCTGCGAAAAATTTGTGTGCGTCCGTGTTTGACGCTGTTGTTAGAAATGTTAACAACTTGATTGACACTATAGTTTTTCGGTTCGTACACTTCTAATGCATTGGCAGAATTTTCTTTGCCTCTTTCTGTTTCATCTTTTCTTTTATGCACACTATTTTGACGTGACCGGACTTGCCACATGCGAAGCATTTTAGTTTGTACTTATTTATCTTGCAGTCTTTTGCAATATGATTATTTTTACCGCATCGTAGACACTAACCGTCTATTCCTAATTCGCTTTAATCGACTTTTGCTCTTAATTCCCTTTTAAAGTTGCTGCTGCGCTTTCTTTCTCGTTTGTCGTATGTTTTTTCTCTTGAGGCTTTAACTTGATTGATGTTAGTTGCTGCACCTGCTGCTCTATGCCCCATGGCGTTATTATGGATTTTGGCGGTTTCCAATGTTGTAGATGTTTCTACAATTTTTGCGAATGATGCTGTTGGATTTTGTAGAAGCTGCTCTCTTATATAGCTGTCACGTAGCCCTCTTATAAATTGTGCTCTAAGAAAGATA